TTCTTCAATGTTTATTAATGTTTAACACTTTCACTTCTATTTGTTTCCCTATAGTTTTCCTTCAACCTTCTCACTTCTCTTTTTCTTGCCAATGTTCTCATTATTTTTCCATGCATGAACGACACTCTAAGATTCATTCTTGCCTTTTAACAATCATGTTGTTTAGGTTGCCTCGGCATCTGCACTTGCAGCTCACAAGTTACGTCGTCCAGTCAGGGTTTACCTTAATCGAAAGACTGACATGATAATAGCAGGAGGGAGACATCCGATGAAAGTAACTTACAATGTGGGTTTCAAATCTAACGGTAAAATCACAGGATGTGAATTAGATATATTGGTTGATGCAGGGATGAGTACTGATGTAAGTCCAGTTATGCCACACAACATTGTCAATGGACTTAAGAAGTATGATTGGGGTGCTTTATCTTTTGATATAAAAGTATGCAAGACAAACAATCCGAGCAGATCTACAATGCGAGCCCCTGGAGAGGCACAAGGATCCTTTATTGCTGAAGCGATAATTGAACATGTAGCGTTTACTCTTTGCATGGATGTCGATATTATACGAAAAGTAAATCTGCATACATTTAACAGCCTCAGAAAATTCTACAAGAATGCAGGTGAACCTCAAGATTACACCTTACCTTCCATTTGGGATAGGTTAGCCACATCTTCATGCTTAGAACAAAGAAGAGAAATGGTAGATAAATTTAATAGCAGCAACATTTGGAAGAAACGAGGTCTTTCTCGAATTCCTATCGTGCAAGAGATGACATTGAGACCAACCCCAGGGAAAGTGAGCATTCTAACTGATGGTTCTGTTGTTGTGGAAGTTGGGGGTATTGAAATCGGTCAAGGGCTGTGGACGAAGGTGAGACAGATGGTTACATATGCCCTTAGCTCAATTAAATGTGATGGAACCAGTGACCTGTTGGAAAAGGTGAGAGTGGTTCAATCTGATACCATTGGCTTAATACAAGGAGGGGGTACATATGCGAGTACTACCTCCGAATCAAGCTGTGAGGCGGTTAGACTTTGCTGCAATATATTGGTGGAGAGACTAACACCTCTAAAGAAAAGGCTCGAAACGAGTGGTTCGGTTAAATGGGACGTGCTTATAAGTCAGGTTGTTGTCTGCTCTGCATCGTTTCGTAGAACATTTTATGATTAAGCAATCATGTTTTCTTTCTATAATGACATTTTTTTCCCTCGTAGTTTGGAGTGATAATAAAATCCATTATCCAAGTGTTATTGATTCACATGCGAATTTGTTTTTAACACTCATGAAACTACTAACCCTTGAATTTTCCGAACTCGATATTTTCTCGATACTATTGTTGGGTCGAACACGTGTTCAAGGTCTTCTTGTTTTTGTGATATATATATATATTCTATTTGTGGAACTAAGTGGCAGCCATGTGCAGGCAAACTTGAAAGCAGTGAATTTATCAGTGAGCTCTATGTATATCCCTGACTTTGTTTCAATGAGCTACTTAAACTATGGAGCTGCAGTGAGTGAGGCACGTCCATTACAGCACCTCCTTTTGTGTCTACCATTGTATCAACATTTTCAATGCCACTTTATTTTCTGCAAAGTTCAATTCACTAAATTCATGCCTTGTCAGGTGGAGCTTGATCTTCTCACTGGAGAAACCACAATTTTGCGTTCCGATATTATCCATGATTGTGGACGAAGCGTTAATCCTGCTGTTGATTTGGGACAGGTTGATATCTAAATTAAGCACGTTTTTCAATCTCTTATGTTTTGAGTTCGGACGCTTTTGAGTTTCGTATACCTATTTCGAACTGGGAATAGATTGATCGGATATCCGAGAATCATTCTGTGCAGATTGAAGGAGCCTTTGTTCAAGGAATTGGATTTTATATGTCAGAGGAATACCTGACAAATCCTGATGGATTAGTTATTACTGACAGCATATGGACTTACAAAATTCCTACAATCGACACCATACCAAAACAGCTCAACGTCGAAATTTTGAACTCTGGACGTCATAAAAACCACATTCTCTCTTCAAAAGGTATGTCGAACTTTATTGACTTTTGATTAGGTTGGGAGAGAATGTAATTCCCTTGCTCTTATAAGAAAAAATTCTAGATATTTGCCTTGTTGTCGACATTAGCAGACTTTTTCTTTTATAGGGTTTTTAGTTGTGAGATCCCACATGAAACGAAGCATTCCTTATAAGAGTGTGGAAATCTCTCCCTAGAAGACGCGTTTTAAAAACCTTGAGGAGAAGCCCGAAAGGGAAGGCCCAAAGAGGACAATATCTGCTAGTGGTGGGCTTGGGCGGTTACAAATATTGTGAGATCCCACATTGGTTGGAGAGGGAAACGAAGTATTTCTTATAAGGGTGTGGAAGCCTCTCCCTAGAAGACGTGTTTTATAAACTTTGAGGGAAAGTTCGATAGAGAAAGTCCAAATAGGACAATATCTACTAGCAGTGGGCTTGGACTGTTACAAATAATATTAGAGTCAGACACTGGATAGAGTGCCAGTGAGGACGCTAGGCCCCCAAAGGGGGTGGATTGTGAGATCCCACATTGGTTGGAGAGGGAAACGAAGCATTCCTTATAAGGGTGTGGAAACCTCTCCCTAGAAGACACGTTTTAAAAATCTTAAGGAGAAGCCCGAAAGGAAAAGTCTAAAAAGGACAATATCTGCTAAAAGTGGACTTGAACTGTTACATAAGGCCTCATGCAAACCATACCATATGCATTGGAATTATAGGCTCCACCGTCATATGCTGGCTTAACGCAGAAGTAAGAAAGGAAAAAAGATAGCACTTAACTATATGGGTAGTAAAAACTGTTGTCTAGACACGTCCAAATAGTAAAAAGTATGATATGATCTGTTTGGAATGACTTTCTAAGTACTTCGAACGTATTTGCTCTTAGAAAGTCATTCCAAACTCCAAACTTGGAGTATAATTTATTGATCAAATGAAATGCATTTGTGCAGCTTCAGGAGAACCACCATTGCTTCTAGCTGCATCAGTCCACTGTGCAACACGAGCTGCTATTAAAGAGGCACGAAAACAGACACGTACATGGAAACGTCGAGATGAGTCTGGTTACGCTTTACAGCTAGAGGTTCCAGCTACCATGCCTGTTGTTAAAGAGCTCTGTGGGTTGGACTCCGTGGAAAGTTACCTCAAATGGATCGATGAATCGAGAACCGCAGCGAGCTGGCCAGGAACTCTTCCCTCCCAAAACACAAGTCATGCCAAGTAGAACTATAAAGATCATGGGTTACTGGGTGCTTTTAAGTGAGGGTTATCTGGCTTACCTTTGCCAGATGGTTGCATATGCTGTGGAAGACGTTAATTTAAATATTCGTATAATCCATTAAATATTCGGTGAAGTCTTCATAGTTGTCGATCATTTATTTTATCTTCATGCCAAAAAAAATTTAAATCATTCTTCTAAGCAAAGTCAGCATGAGAGAGGCAAACAACGCTCGTAGAAGTGTTTCAAGAAGAGTGAGCATGAGAGAGACAAGTAACGCCTGTGGAATTGCTCTAAGAGGAATGAGCACGAGCGAGGCAAGTAACACCCATAAAAGTGCTCCAAGAGAAGTGAGCACAAGAGATAAGTAATCGCACCTTGGAGCACGTTCACGAGACCATGCATCGTGTTAGAAACATGATGCCGCACGGTTGAAGAAGTATGACCGTGACAATTGATATCATAGCTACATTTTGAGTGTCTAATCAGACAAGACAAAGAACCCGAGGGTTGATTGAAGATCTTGCAAGTGAGTCAAGAGTGTTAGAGTGGGTAGGATAGTTGCGGGTTAGTATTAGAATTAGTTGTGGGTTGAACCTAAGACTCCCCAAAGTTTATTAGTGCCGTGTGTCGACACCTTAGTGTGGGGAGATCTACCCATCAAAAGTAAGAACCAAGCTCAGTTGCCAAGGGCTTCAAGTTGCGATATGGGCAAGAAATGAAACAGAAGGCACATCAAGTCAGGTTTCTTCCAAAGAACCATTCGCATTAGAAGAATAGTGTTAGTGGTTGCAAGTAGAGAAATCATGGGTCAAGTCAAGATAAGCGTTGGACAAGTGCCAAGCTGAACACAACGCAAGTCCTTATGGGGGACGATCTTGTGGCGCAGAGGCAGTCGAGTTGAATGGGGAAGCACCAGAGTGAATGGGTTGCTCACATCGTGAACGTGCTCCAAAGTGCAAGCACACGTGTATTCTTTGAATCACCGTTTTGTGCTTAACATGGGTGGTTTCACAAGAATTGTCAAGACTACCATCCACTCGAAAAGTAAGCATCAGCTTTCTCTCTCACTTCACACCTTGGAACGCACCGTTCTTATAGAGAGAGAGGCGCTTTCACATCTTCTTAACCCGAAATGGCAAATGGCTGGGGAGAGGAAAGGTTCCTTTTTTTAGGGTACCCCCGGGAACAGATCCAGTGGAGACGGGATGGGGCCTGTAGCTCAGAGGTGGGCATAGAAAAGTGAAGCTGCCTCTATTCTTTTATATAGCAGCTATGCCTCTGTTGGAATTTGAGACAAATAGAAAAATGTCACTTTTTATTTATTTAATTTTTTTATAGATATTTTTTATAGAGAATTTCCTTCGTTTAATATTTGAAACAAATTCATATCATAATTATTAACACAAAAAATAAGATATCCGTTTTACAATAACACAAAAATAAATTGATAAAGAAACTAAATATATATTAAAAAAATTAATTAATTAAATAGTATGTAATATTTGAAAAACTAAATTAATTAAATAGAATGCAATATTTAAATATTTTTTTATTCTTAAAAACTATATTGAAATATATTGATTTATTAAGATTGCTTTTACAAATATTTTAGATAGATAAAGATTATAGTGAAAAATGAAATGTTTATTATTATTATTTTTTTATATAAAAAAATTAATTAGCATTAAAATAATAATAATAAAATACTTGAGCTTTATAAACAATCACTAAAAAAAGCTTAGAATTCCAGACATCAGTTGACACGAGGAGGCCATGGATGAACAGATCATCCATATTCTGAAGATTAAATTTACCATCTGTTCGTTGTGAGGGTGGCAATGACGTTGAGGCCGGAGCTACAGATTTCAATGTCAATGCAGGCTTTATCCACTCTGCACATTTTCATTTTAGACTTGTCGATGGGTCGTTGTCTAGATTGTCTCTTTCTCGGCGTAAACAGCAGCCTAGAAAATGTAAAATCAGTACGTTTTCCAGTTGTCTTTGCCGCGATCAGAATGAAGATTCATTTGACGGGCGGCGGGGACGTATGGTTTGATCCAGCGGCAAACAATTTCTATGTTCTTATAAATTGGTTTCAATCACTGAAACAAAGACTCCATCGCTTTTCTTCCCACTATGCACAATGGAGAATCAACCAAACAAAGCAGCAGTTTCTCTGGTGTTTGCTGTCAATCAACAGAGGTTTGAGCTCTCCTCTGTTGACCCTTCCATTACTCTGCTTCACTTTCTGCGCCACCATACTTCTTTCAAGAGTGTCAAGCTTGGCTGTGGTGAAGGTCTCTCTCTCTCTCTCCCTTTCCCTCTCCCTCTATTTAACGAATTAATTAATCTTTATCAAATCCACGTCTTGGGGTTGCTTCCTTTTCATGGAAAAACGTATTTTCTTTCAGTAATTGCGTTAATCTGGATTGAATCTATTGCATGAATGAGTATTCTATTGCAGACGTTACTTTATCAGAATGTAGTCTGTAGAATGAGTATTCTATTGCAGTCTGTAGTCTGTAGTATTCTATTGCAGAATGAGTATTCTGAGTATTCTATCAGAATGCAGAAACCATTATAGGTATTTAATTTGATAAAACTCTGTTGACGTGATTGGTTATTTTGAAATGTAGGCGGTTGTGGTGCTTGTGTTGTTCTATTGTCCAAATACGATCCTGTGTTAGATAAGGTCGAAGATTTTACAGTAAGCTCATGCCTCACCTTGCTTGGTAGTATACATGGCTGTTCAATTACAACCAGTGAAGGTATTGGGAATTGCAAGGATGGTTTCCACTCAATTCATCAAAGATTTGCTGGCTTTCATGCTTCTCAGTGTGGCTTTTGTACCCCTGGAATGTGTGTTTCACTTTTTTCTGCTCTCGTCAAGGCTGAAAAGACCAATCGACCTGAGCCCTCACCGGGATTCTCGAAACTTACGGTTTCTGAAGCCGAAAAGGCTATTTCTGGAAACCTCTGCCGCTGTACAGGATACAGGCCAATTGCTGATGCCTGTAAGAGTTTTGCTTCTGATGTTGACATGGAGGATTTGGGGTTAAACGCGTTCTGGAAAAAGGGATGTGGTGAGGAAGAGAAATCGAGTAAATTGCCTCCTTATGATCCAAATAATGGACCGTGCTTATTTCCTGAATTTTTAAAAAAGGAAATAAGGTCTATCCCTTTTGTCGACTCTAAGGGATGTTCCTGGCTTAATCCCCTTAGTATTAAGGATCTAAACAGATTACTGGGATGTGATGATTCTAGTAATATAAGCAAAACGAAGTTAGTCGTTGGCAACACCGAAGTTGGCTACTACAAAGAATTTGAACGTGTTGATAGATACATTAATCTTAAATTCATCCCTGAGCTTTCTGTTATCAGAAAGGATTCAACAGGAATAGAGATTGGTGCGACGGTGACAATTGCAAAAGCTATTGAAGCTCTGAAAAATAATAACCATGAAAGCTCGTCAATAGGCGAGCTAGTGTTCAATAAACTGGCCGAGCACATGGAGAAAATTGCTTCGAGTTTTGTACGAAATACTGCCAGCATTGGAGGAAATTTAATGATGGCACAAAGAAAACAATTTCCCTCAGATATTGCCACAATACTTCTTGCTGCAGGTTCCATGATAAGTATATTAACTGGTTCCAGCCAAGAAACGATTATGTTGGATGAGTTTCTCAAGAGACCTCCATTGGGTCCTAAATGTGTACTTTTAAGTGTTAAGATTCCAAATTGGGATTCAGTTAAGGACGTTGATTCAAATGATGCTACTGTCATGTTTGATAGTTTTAGAGCGTCGCCACGACCCCTTGGTAATGCACTGCCGTACCTAAACGCTGCTTTCTTAGCTGCAATCTCCCCATGTAAAAATTCCAACGGGATCGTATTAAATAGCTGTCACCTGGCTTTTGGAGCATATGGGACCAAACATGCCATTAGAGCAAGAAATATTGAAGAATTTCTAGCTGGAAAAGTTATTGATTATAATGTCATATATGAAGCTATCTCATTGACTGGAGCCACTATAGTTCCTGAAAAGGGCACTGCATGTCCTGCTTATAGGACAAGCTTAGCAGTTGGCTTCCTTTTTGTGTTCTTAAGTTCCTTGGTTGATGAAAAGGCTGCAATCGATAGAGATCACCTAGATGGATGCAGGAATGCTTCGTCAACACGACCTGAAAGATTTAACTTGAACCACGGTTCACTTGGTTATAATAAGACGGCTACTCTACTATCATCTGGAAAGCAGACACTGGAATTGAGTTCAGAATATTATCCAGTCGGAGATGCCATTATAAAATCTGGAGCTGCCATTCAAGCTTCAGGTACTTTATATCTTGTAATAATATGAAATTAGACTTTCAAAGACAGAATGAACTTGTCTTAGTTAACCTCGTGAGCATTGAACATTCACAAACTCTAGAATCTTCTGTAGCAAGCCTAGTCTGCATGGCAGGACATAAATGAGTTAGTACTTTTACATGTGGGTGTGTGAGATCAGGTTAAACCTATTTTTGCTACCTTTATTACATGGATTTGAAGGTATGTGCATGCTATCTCATTTGAATTAGATTTAGAATCTCCCAGTTCTGAACTTCTTGCATTTTCAACATCGGCTCGATCCAGTTACTTCGTGTCAGATGTGTCTTATTACCTAGTTGTTATACTCCAATATTGCTTCAAGGTTAGGCTTACATGTTCAAAACTGATTCTTCACTTGATATTTTAGGCTTACACTCATAATATTTAGCGTTGCATGTTCTTTTAGGTCTATTTGTTTGACATGATTTCTTGTTCTCAAGTATTAGGGAACCAACGTAAATATGCTAATAAATATTTTAGGTGAGGCTATCTATGTGGACGATATTCCTTCACCAACAAATTGCCTATATGGAGCATTCATATATAGCTCAAAGCCTTTGGCACGGGTAAAGGGTCTTACTTTTCCTCCCAAATCACAACCAGAGGGAGTTGTCGCTGTTATTTCCGCCAGAGATATTCCTGTGGGTGGACAGAACATTGGAACTAGAACCATGTTTGGTGACGAAATTCTATTTGGAGATAAGTTGACTGAGTGTGCTAGTCTGCCACTTGCCTTCGTGGTAATTTGAATTTCTCATGATTCATTTATAGCAACCTCAGTCATAGAAGGTACCCTTACTTGCTGTGGTGCTTAATACCTATCCACATTTTTCTTAGGTTGCAGATACTCAGAAACATGCAGATGTGGCTGCAGAATATGCAGTAGTGGATTATGACACACATAATTTGGAAGCACCTATTCTTTCTGTAGAAGATGCTGTTAAGAGGTCAAGCTTCTTTGAAGTTCCTTCATTTTTAATTCCAAAACAGGTTGGTGATATATCAAAAGGAATGGCTGAAGCAGATTACCATATTAACGCGGCTCAGGTACCTTCTACAGTGAATTTCTTGGCCGTAATATACAATGATGGTATACCTTCCTTGGGGAATTTCCTTGATTTACTTAGTTGAACCACTTTGAAGTCTAATAGTTAGAGATTCGACCATGGCGGCCTACTTGACCGTATCTCACACCAAAAATTAGTTCCTAACTATTCTGCTACAAATGTGATTAGTTATTATCTATTCAAAAGATAGGTCATTTCTCCTAATCGTTTTCATAAATTTTTAAATCCAGATCAGACTTGGATCACAATATTATTTTTATATGGAGACCCATTCTGCACTTGCCATTCCAGATGAAGATAACTGCATGGTAGTCTACAGTTCAAGTCAATGGCCTGTTAATGCCCATTTTGTTATTGCAAAGTGCCTCAGTGTTCCTGAACATAATGTCCGTGTAATTACGAGAAGGGTTGGAGGAGGCTTTGGTGGAAAGGCCATGAAGTCTATGGTTGTGAGTACCTGCTGCCAACTCTATGTGCAATTAACTATTGGAATACGTTCTTCACTGGTGCATTTCTATGAACTTCTAAGTAAAACAAGATTTTCCACTTCCATTGGAAGTTTTCTGCGTTGACTTACTAGAAATAGTGTTTTCTCAATATGAGGGGAACAGAAATCAAGTATATATGCAATTATGATTTTACTCCCAAGTATTTCTTGCATGCCAGTTTCAAAACAGTGAATTTTGTTAAAAGCTTTATTATGTTGTCAATTTTATTATATTCTTAGTTGGTAGGATGAGGATACGGTGAATAAAAAAATAAGATAATTGTATCAGAGCAGAAAGTTCTCGTGATTTTTAAGATTGTTATATTCTTCATTATTTATTTATGTTCAACACTTTCACCTCTATTGTTTCTCTATATAGTTTGGTCTCAACCTTCTCACTTCTCTTTTATTGCTCTCATTATTTTCCCAAACATGAACGGCACTCTAATATATGAGTTCTTGCCTTTTATCAATTATGTTGTTTAGGTTGCTTCAGCATGTGCACTTGCAGCTCACAAGTTATGTCGTCCTGTCAGGATTTACATGAATCGAAAGACTGACATGGTAATGGCAGGAGGGAGACATCCAATGAAAGTAACTTACAATGTGGGTTTCAAATCTAACGGTAAAATTACAGGATGTCAATTAGATATATTGGTTGATGCAGGGATGAGTATTGATGTAAGTCCAATTATGCCACAAACCATTGTCAATGGACTTAAGAAGTATGATTGGGGTGCTTTATCTGTTGATATAAAAGTATGCAAGACAAACAATCCAAGCAGATCTACAATGCGAGCCCCTGGGCTGGCACAAGGATCCTTTATTGCTGAAGCGATAATTGAACATGTAGCGTCTACTCTTTGCATGGATGTCGATACTGTCCGGAGAGTAAATATGCATACATTTAGCAGCCTCAAAAAATTCTACAAGAATGCAGGTGAACCTCAAGATTACACCTTACCTTCCATTTGGGATAGGTTGGCCACATCTTCATGCTTAGAACAAAGAACTGAAATGGTAGATAAATTTAATAGCTGCAACACTTGGAAAAAAAGAGGTCTTTCTCGAATTCCTGTCGTGCAAGGAATGACATTGAGACCAACCCCAGGGAAAGTGAGCATTCTAACTGATGGTTCTGTTGCTGTGGAAGTTGGGGGTATTGAAATTGGTCAGGGGCTGTGGACAAAGGTGAGACAGATGGTTACATATGCCCTTAGCTCAATTAAATGTGATGGAACCAGTGACCTGTTGGAAAAGGTGAGAGTGGTTCAATCTGATACCATTGGCTTAATACAAGGAGGGGGTACATATGCGAGTACTACCTCCGAATCAAGCTGTGAGGCAGTTAGACTTTGCTGCAATATATTGGTGGAGAGACTAACACCTCTCAAGAAAAGGCTGGAGGAGAGTGGTTCGGTTAAATGGGATGTGCTTATAAGTCAGGTTGTTGTCTGCTCTGAATCATCTCGTAGAACATTTTATGATTAAGCAAGCATGTTTTCTTTCTATAATGACATTTTCTCCCTCAGTTTGAAGTGATATTATGTTTTGAAGTGTGGGAGGAACATCCGTAATGCATGTGTCATTGCTTCACATGCATGGTCTGAAAGTCTTATTATTGGATGTTCACATAAAGTTGGTTTCGTTAAAAATAATTCCTATTAAAAAAATTATTTGAAGCTTCTAGATGTAGTGTAGAAGGTTGTTTTTAAACTTTTATATGAATTCTCCATGGACATGTTGAACTTTATTTTTTATGCTCATGGAACTGTTAACCCTTGAACTTTCCAAACTAAATATTTTCGTGAGACCTGTTGTTGGGTTGAACACACATGTTCAAGGCCTTCTTGTTTTGGTTTTATATATTCTATTTATGAAACTAAATGGAAGCCACGTGCTCCTTTAGTCGGATTGTTGATATACCATTATGCATTGTTTGTTCCTTAAGTGAGCAGTTTTCTTACCTCATATGAATGTTTTTGGACATGTGATTGAGGACATATCCTTTGGTGCATAACACCGTTGTCATTTCATGTTGGAAAACTGCAGGCAAACTTGCAAGCCGTGAATTTATCAGTTAATTCTTTGTATGTCCCAGACTTTGTTTCAAGCAGCTACTTAAACTATGGAGTTGCAGTGAGTGAGGCACGTCCATTAATAACACTTCCTTTTGTGTTTACCATTGTATCAACATTTTCAAGTTAAAAAGAAGCAGTTGGCTGCTACTTCAATGCCACTTTATTTTACTGCAAAACTCAATTCACCAAATTCATGCCTTGACAGGTGGAACTTGATCTTCTCACTGGAGAAACCACAATTTTGCGTTCAGATATTATCCAGGATTGTGGACGAAGCCTCAATCCTGCTGTGGACTTGGGACAGGTTAATAGCTAAATTAAGCACAAAATTGAGTTCCTAATTCGTTTTTCAATCTCTTATGTTTTGAGTTTGGACGCTTTTGAGTTTCATATGCCTATTTCTTAGTGGGAATAGATTGATCGGATATCCAAGAATCATTCTGTGCAGATTGAAGGAGCCTTTGTTCAAGGAATTGGATTTTATATGTCAGAGGAATACCTGACAAATCCTGATGGACTAGTTATTACTAACAGCACATGGACTTACAAAATTCCTACAATTGACACCATACCAAAACAGCTCAACGTCGAAATTTTGAACTCTGGACGTCATAAAAACCACATTCTCTCTTCAAAAGGTAGGCCAAACTTTATTGACTTTTGATTAGGTTGGAAGAGAATGTAAATTACTCTTATAAGAAAAATTCTAGATATTTTTCTCCATTCCTCTGCAGAGTTCAATTGACTATACTTTCATTTGCTTTGTTGTAGACATTAGTAGACTTTTTCTTTTATAAGGCTTTTAGTTTTTCAGCTAAGGCCTCATGCAAACAATACAATATGCATTTGGAATTATAGGCGCCATCATCATATGCTGGCTTAAAACAGAAGTAAGAAAGGGAAAAAGATTGCATTTAACTATATGGGTAATAAAAACTGTTGTCTAGAAACATCCAAATAGTAAAAGGTATGTATGGGATCTGTTTGGAATAGTATTTGCGCAAGTGTTTGCTCTTAAAAAGTCATTCCAAACTGGCTTATAATTTATTGATATTGGATGTAAGGCATAGCAGTTGTAGTGAGGGTGAGAGATCTGATAAAATTAGTGTTGTAGAAGGGTTGATTTGAAGTGGGATTTAATTAAATGAAATGCATTTGTGCAGCTTCAGGAGAACCACCATTGCTTCTAGCTGCATCAGTCCACTGTGCAGCACGAGCTGCTATTAAAGAGGCACGAAAACAGATATGTACATGGAAACATCGAGATGAGTCTGATTACACGTTCCAGCTAGAGGTTCCAGCTACCATGCCTGTTGTTAAAGAGCTCTGTGGGCTGGACTCTGTGGAAAGTTACCTGAAATGGATCAATGAATTGAGAACCACAGCGAGCTGACCTGAAACTCTTCCCTCCCAAAACACAAGTCATGCCAATTAATTCAAGATAATGCATGTAATGTGAAAATGCGATCAGTCTATGAGGTAATGCACTCTCTCATTTTCTAAGTTTATTTGCAGCAGGGAAATAAGTAGAACTACATAGATCATGGGTCACTGGGGATTTTGCTTTGTAAGTGAGGGTTATTAGTGCTAGTTGTAGACTGTGAATCCAAGTAAAAATGTTTCTTCTTTTCTTCGTGACAAGAAATGAGACTTTTCATTGAAATTACGAAAAGAGATTATTGCCTAAAACGTACAAAAAGGACGAGAGAGAAAAACAGCAAAATAAAATCAAAGGGGAGATAAAAATGTTTCTACTTCTTTATATTTCCTTTTCCAGCAGCAAAGGGATGGACCCGTAATTTTTGGGAAATGTAGAGGTCAGAGTACTGAATTGAAAATCAATAATGAATATTATAATTTCGAATTGAAATGTTTGCTTAAATTTCAGTATTTTCTAATGTCAACATTTTGTGAGTATCAATGTTGAGATTCTTGCTTTCCCGCATGGTATTTTCTTTCTAATTCTGTTTTATTGCTGTTAACAATCTAAAATACAAGATTCCCATTTGACCCATTTCACTACAGATTACTATATACTTCTTGTGTTAGTTGTGACGTGAAATACTGAACTACGTAACTTTTCACTGGATCAACACAACTGTTTACCTTTTTTGAAAAATGAACATTGAAATCAATCTTTGGTTATAATACAACTTGATCATGCTTTCTGATAAGAAATGCATGTATTGTATCTGTAATATACCACACTTGATTGAAGAGAAACAAAGAGAAAACAATGACATTCATTGTTTAAATCTAAAAGGGCTAGTTGGAGTCAGCCAAGCATGATGAAAAACTCCATTCTCTTTATACATAAAACTTATAACCTTAAGGGTAATGTGGCGCCACCAAGATTATCAAACCTCACCCAAAAGAGATCTTTGCAGGGTATTTCTTCCAATTATTAGTGAATATTCAGAAGTAGCCTTACGTTACCTATAGGCGAAAGCAATACTAGAAAGCATGCAGCAAGCTTCGATGAGAACGCTATATTATTAGTTCGATGGAAAACACTGGTACATTAACTTGTCATACAGAATAAGGTATATGGTGTTTGTGTATGTGTGTGTGAAGGGAGAGGGGACAAGGGTATCCTTGCACTAGTGTACAGATTGATTGAGTGACAGCTTCACAGCCAAAATCCAGGACACAGCTCTCCTATGCTAGGCAAGTTGCAGTTGTGGGGGAGGGGGGGAAGCATAAATCATAGGAGTCCAGTAGGAATTTTAAGATGATCAAATAACATACTTCCAAAGCCAAGGATTGGAACGTAGGGGTTATAAAGATTCAACCTACTCGACGAGCGGATTTACTAGGTGAGGTTCATCGTCTTTCATTAATGCCAGCAAACATTGAAGTCAGCAAGTTTCTCGAAAAAAAAAATCAAATTGGCTTAGCCATTTAAAAAAAAACAATTACAAGCTCACAACTAACTAACCATAACGAAAAAGTCAGAACTCTTAGCATGAAGAGAGTGCGAGAGAGACCTGAGGGCATTGTCCAAACATTGGGAATGACAACAAAATTTTCCACAGATTCGATGAAGAGAAAATGAGGAAAGCAACCATGCATGGAGAAAATGGTAGTTCCAAAGGTACCAACTTTAGAGGAAGGCAACCTTCACGTTAGGCAAAAGTTCTTCAGGAAGGGGCCGGGCTGTAATCCGTGATTGAGGATAATTTGCACTAGTTCATCTCAAGACTAAAACCTCGCAAGAAAATACTGGAGGAGAAAATGAGTTCGGTCAAATGGGATGTGCTTATAAGTCAGGTTGTTGTCTGCACCATCCGGTACAATTGTAATTTTGTCTGGTAGTTGATTTGTAATTTTGCTTGTTTAGCTTCTTAAGTAACCAGTTTTCGTACTTATAATAATTCCTTTCGGCTTTATGATTAAGAAGGCATATCTTTTGGTTCATAAAACCTTGGTCATTTCATGACAGAAAAGTGCAGGTAAACTTGGAAGCAGTGAATTTATCAGTTAATTCTATGTACATTCCTGACTTTGTTTCAATGTGATACTTTAACTATGGTGCTGCATTGAGTGAGGCAAGTGCACTAATAACACCTCCCTTGGTATTTGCTCTTGTATCAACATTCTCAAATTTAACCACTTCACTGCCAGTTTACCTTACTGCACAGTTCAATTTCACAAAAACCATGCTATGACAGGTGGGGTTAATCTTCTCACCGGAGAAACCTCAGTTTTGCGTGCAGATAATATCTATGATTGTGGACAGAGCCTCAACCCTGCAGTGGATTTGGGACAGGTTTATTGTTTGACCTGTTCAATCTCCTGAAGTTTTGAGTTTATGCACTTCTAGACTTTTATATAGCAGCTATGGCTCTGTTGGAATAGATTGATCAGATGTTGAAAGGGTAGATGCTCTTAATGATGGGAATCGGTTTTTGTAGATTGAAGGAGCCTTTGTTCAAGGAATTGAATTTTTTATGTCAGAAGAATATCTTACAAATCCTGATGGACTAATGATTAATGACCGCACGTGGACTTACAAAGTTTGGACAATTGACACCATATCGAAACAGTTCAACGTCGAAATTTTGAACTCTGGACATCATAAAAAACGTGTTCTCCCTTCAAAAGGTAGGTCAAATTTTATTGTCGTTCAAAATTTTATTTATCATTTGGCTCGTAGTAGATTTTTTCTTGGGGGTATTAAGTTTTTAAGTTTTCAGCTAAGGCTTCAAGCAATTATGAAAACAATGTATACAATATGTATAGAGTTTATCTGATCCATCATCAGATGTTGGCTTAACATAGAAACTAGAAAGGAAAATACATATCATTTAAACTATATGGATGGTGAAAAGAATTATGTATACAGTCCAAAGGGTAAAAAGCATTTATAGTTGAATGCATTGTGCAGCTTCTGGAGAATCACCATTGCTACTAACTGCATCAGTTCACTGTGCAACACGGGCAGCAATGAGGCACGGAAACAGATACGTAAATGGCGCTGATAAGACGAGTCTGATTACGTGTTTCAGCTAGAGGTTCCTGCTACCTTGCCTGTTGTTAAAGAGGCGTGCGGGCTGAACTGTGTGGAAAGTTACTTGAAATGGATCTATGAAGTAGAAGCACTGTGAGCTGATCAAAACACAGGTATGTTATGCACATGCTCATTTTCTAGTTCACATGCATCAGAGAAAGAACTATAGAAGAAAACTACAAAAATAAAATCATCAGCTTACCATACGTTGCTCATTTTCTGATGGAGCCTTATGAAATGATGGCTGTGATAAATTGCCTTTCTGGTAGTAAAGATGGGTTTGGATGAACAGTTTTAATTCTAGGAAGCTTAGAGGTCAGAGTAATGGGTTGAATTAATACTGCTATCCACTGAAGCAACCCAGGAGTAAATTTTTAATACACAAAAATTATACCCAAATTAACATAACTATGTTGTTGGATTAGTGGTCGAAAATAGAGACTAATGAAGAAAGAAATTACAAAGATACTCTTGAGGTATAGTGGCTCAAGTCCACTACTAGCAAGTCCACTACTAGCAGATATTGCATTTTTTAGATTTTTCCTTTCAGGCTTTCTTTTAAGATTTTTAAAACTGAATCTGTTAGCGAGATGTTTCTACGCTCTTATAAAATTATGTAGAGCGTAATAATGGAGTGAATTATGGATGTAATAATTGTGTTAAATGCCTAAATTATATTGGGATGGAAGAAGAAAGGTGTGATTGGGTGAGAGGAGAGAGGATAATACGGATTTTTGTTTTTATGAAAAAAAAAAAAAATAATAAATATATATATATATATATAATACGAAATCCAATATTAAAAGTTTAGGTTTGTTTGAAAGTTTTACAATTGATGTAATGTATAATTAATTTATTAATTTTGGTTTACAAAAAAATTAATATAATTATTTATTTATTTATAATAAATCGATAAAATAAACTTATTTAAATATATATTAAATTTATTTTGACAAATAAAAATTTATTTATAAATGAAATATTTATTTAGTAAAACTATTATTTCAATAACTAACCATAAAGTATACTTAATTTTTTTTATAACTATAAATAATTACTTTAAAATCTTACATTAGAATTAATTGATCGAAATTAAAAGTGTAATTAATAATAATGAATTAATCAATTCTTTTTCTTATTTTATTAATAAATTATTATAATTGTATAAAATTTATCCTTTAATATAATTTATTTTTGAAATATAAATTGTACTAAATATTTAGAATTAAAAAATTATATAATTCCATCAAAACTATTTAAATTTAAAAAAATTAATAAAATCTGGATTGTCTCCTTTTGTCTATAAGGTGGAAGCCGGTTTTGTTCCGGCCACCCACAATGGAGAATCAGCCAATGGGAGCAGCTGCTCCGCCGGTGTTTGCTGTTAATCAGCAGAGGTTTGAGCTCTCCGCCGTTGACCCTTCCATTACTCTGCTTCACTTTCTTCGCCACCATACTTCTTTCAAGAGTGTCAAGCTTGGCTGTGGTGAAGGTCTCTCTCTCTCTTCCTCTTTCTCTCTCTAATTAATTACTTAATTCTTCTCAAATCCATGACTTGGGGTTGCTTAATTTTCATGGAAAAATGGATTTTCTTGTGTTGATCGGGTTTGAGTCTGACTACGACCTGATACTCTGTTTATATTGATATTATTCGTAGCTTGTTTTCGGTAAACTTTAGTTCAAATAGTGATTTGAGATACATGAAAAAGTACTAGTTAAACGTTCTTCACCATTGCTTGAACTTAAAGATTGCTTTTTTCTTAGACTTCGAATCACTGACTGTCGTGTGAGTTCAAGATTGCTTTTTTTTTGGACTTAGAATCATAGAGTGTCGTGTGAGTTCAAAATTAGACAAAAAAAAAAAAAAAAAAAAAAGTGGGAACACAGGGAATTAACTTCAAATATAAATAATAAAATTGTCATAAAAATATCAACCTAATCAATCATCAAATTCAAAGTAAAAGATACTTAAATAGTATAAAAGAGAATATGATTCAATTGTGGTCCTTCCGAGCCACATGACTTTGCAGAGTTTGTCACAGAACAATGGCCTAGGATCCATCAGTATAGAAATACTCCGTAAGCAGATTCTCACTTAAGCTTCTCCTATTCAATATTTCTTAAACTATATGCTCAATTAGGGTCATAGTTCAAGTTTTCACATAGTTCTTTTAGGCTCTTAAGGTTGGTATTTCTTACTTACTCCTACTTCAAGGATGTAAGTCACCCGTTGGGGTGTAATCGAGTTTTCGGAGTGCATTTAGCCTCTCATGGTCCATCTAGCCATGACGCTTCCTGCTCATAAATCAGTATGCCCTCATCTGTATTGGACTCTAAGGAAGTTTAATAGATATGGAGAAGTCACAATTCGCTAGAGGTATCCTCTCAGTCTCCCTATATCTCCATACATGTCTACTACTAAGTGCTAACTAAAAGTTCCCCTAACGGCGCCTAACAAGCATCATATTCTCTTGGCATTCCAACTTTTAAATAGTGCCAAGTTAGCTCCCCACTTAGCACAACCGAAGCTCCTTCAGTAATACTCTCTAGTGTGCCACATGCCTTACGTATGTGACGTCATGTTCCTATATGCTAAGTAGATCCTCACTGGTCAAGTGAGTTCACGATTAGGGGCTGTGTCATAGTCGTTCCTACAAAGGCCTAGTTGACCCATAATGTCATAACGGATCCTAAACATGACTCAAGGATCAAGGAAAGGTAAACTGTAGGCTAGCTAGCTAGCTAATAAGTCATACGTATCTTCTAATTCACATAGGATCTAGTTCAAACATCATTCCGAGGGCATAAACAACATACGTGCATATAAAGTAAAGTACGCTAAATCATAACACGTTAGAACCCCAACAAGCATTCATATCGATTAAAATGAAATTTGGTGTAACAGAAGTCCTTATTCTAGCTAAACCAATCAAAATTCATAAAATCATGTTAATAGTCTATATGCCCGAGTCTCAGTCAATTCTCACGAGTATTGATTACCGAAAAGTTTGAAGGGTTATTTAGTTGGTGGTTCGAATCTCTAGAAAATTTGGACCGGCGCACTTGATCCGTGTCTTCCTCCTCGAGACGGACCCATCCCGCGCGGCTGCTTACTCCGTCTTTCCTTCGCCGGTTCTTGAACTACACGCCCCGATAGCTTCTGCACTCTTCTACCAACTCATACATCTCCTACTATGAACCTAAAGGGCCAAATTTCCTTAGGTTTCGTCATGTAACTAGCAAGATATTGCTCTCTACCTTCAAACCAAACGCGATCTACTCGTTCAAGCGCCCTCGGCCTCTGGCTCTTTCACCGACGTTGCTGAGCTCCTCTCGGTGAGTCTATAGCCACAAGAATCGTCCATTTTCGTTAAGAAATCGCATGATGAATACTCGGGAAAAATCCACGACGAACTCACCTAACTCAAATCCGGTTATTGGCTTCCTTGAGCTCCTCGGTCCAATTCCCTTCACCACGCTCTTGTTCAATGTTTTTGCAACGAAACCCCCATGAATTTGAGGCCTGGCGCTTGCTCAAACTCCACTAATTCGCAGCTCAACTCCTCCAGCGACCCTGGGTGTAGTTCTCGAGTTTTCCCTCCGTTTTTTCCTCTCTCAATGAACATTCCCGTCCGTATCCGTGGCCCTCTATTGATTTAAGCTTCCCCTAACGCCCCAAATCTACAAAAATCTGGCTGCGAATCGGGGTTGGTATCCACTTCCTCCTCCTCACCTTACGTCTGTCGCCGGCCAGAGTACGACTGGCGATTGTTCCAACTGCCGTTTTTTTTTTTTTTTTTTTTTTTTT